ATTATAACAAAGCTTGCTGTTATAGGACATTGTGATGTGATTGGCTGACAAAAACACTCATTATGATGTGATTGGATAAAAAAAATCATTATGTGCTGAATAAATGGCCATTTACTGCAATGTGATTGGATAAAGTGCCGTTTATTGGGATATTATTTGATGAACTGTTACTAATAGAATGTGATCGGATAAAACGAAATGTATATTGTAATTTGATGTTATTGGTTTAAACATATTGTATACCGAATGTGGTATCCTCGAAATTCCAGGGGTAACGCTCACTAACAAATGTACGTTGCGAAGAGTTCCAAATTGAGCGTAACCCATGGAATTTTTAAGTGAGCGTAACCCTGGAATTTTGTAAGTGAGCGTAACCCTGGAATATTGCAAGTGAGCGTAACCCTGGAACTTTGGAGACATAAGTATGTTCTGAAACGAAACATTGGATGTATCCGGCAATTTTCAACACAGATGCATGCAAGACTTTGGTGCATGTACGTCTTAACTTGACAATAGTATTGCCATGCTATGAGATATTTCTGATACACTAGCTAGTCGTCTGCAGAGGGTTCAAATCCCCTCTGCACGTCTGGTTACTCGTACTCGATAGAGAGCACATCACATCAGTGCTATAGCCGTTACGTGTACGATACAGACAACAGAACAAAATGTTGATATCACATACAAGACACTAAATGGAACTTCCCCTCAGTATATGCACGAGCTTGTCACCATTGTATTACCCATCATGAACACTGAAACCGGATATAGAATTATCGTTACATGTACAAAGTATACGTGTGGTGCTTCTTGCTCGTTTTTGTGTCTAGGAAATATGACTGAGAACACTCGAACGCGAAAGGAAACAAATCCCAATCATGTGATAAATATAATCCAATCAAAACGCTGTTACATACGTATACGGATGAGGTATAACATGTTAACGTGATGTGTGATGTAATTGTGGTATTATTTATACAGGAAGACGCGCTGTCTACACATAAAGCCGTTTCACATTTGTTTTCGAAGTAATACGAGCAATTGCGGTCTGATATGAATTATGGCAACATGTATAGATATTTTGTAATACCACGTCGTTCGGAGGGGGAGAGGTTGGTTGTGTCTAAAACAGCTGTTTCCTATAATGCCTTTGAAAACAATTTGATCTTTTTGTTCGAGCATACATATATGTAGCACCATATTTATATGCTACAGGCCAGCTGCAAAAAATATGGTTAAGAATCTTAATATAACTAAAGTTGTAGGTTTCGAACACAAATGAACAGATACGTAATCGCTATATTGAAAGAAAGTATATATGTATATACATTCTATACATTTTGCAACAATTACGAAACAAGTTTTATCATCTTATATAAATTACTCTGAATGACTCTGCTGCTAGCATTGGAGAAGGTGTGTGTATGAGGAGGGGGGGGGGGGGGGGGGGGCTTACTATGTGAGGAAATAGGTGTACTCGGAGAAAACCGATGTGGTCCGGTAGATGACCCCATACCTTGTCCGAATCGAATCTCGGCCGTCTCGAAAGGTGTGAGCTATCCACTGCGCCACCCGACCAGAGAGTATGGAAACTTCAGTCCACACATTTAGATACAAATAAAACATAACAATAGGAAAATCATTTAACAAATTATGCATTTACAACACGACGTTATAACAGAATATTTACCATCGTATGGCATTGCCACTATAAAACCCTACCAAATTCTGTTGGCATTCATACAGGCTATGAATGGCATGGACCGATTGTTGACGTCATAATTGTTACGTTTGATACCACTGACCCTCCCTGGGCGATGGCTGTTCTATTCATTGAACAAGCATACACGATAATATATTACTAAATGTTGCATTTGTTGAATAATAGTAAATGTAATTGAGTTTTATATGAGATGAACAGATTCCAAAAATGGTAAATATAAGTATTGAACTGCTTTCAGTTGGCATTCATAGGCTAGCGCTTCATTGAATTTGCCTTTGTCCAGTTGGCATTCATATTGCCTATGAATGCCAACTGAAAGCAGTTCAATGCTTAAATATACTTTTCATACATGTAATACATGAAAAAAGCTTTTCCCGGATGAAAGCATAATGCGTGTGAACGAAAGGTCCAAAAAGGGTCATTTCCTGCCCCATGCGAATGCCTTTAACATATCAAGTCATTAACAACTTGTAAAAAAACTACCCGACCATGTTAGCGCCCCGGGGTAATTAGGTGTGTGCCTCTTGTTGCGTACTCTCTGTATAAGAGTACATCCCTCGCGTGTCCCCGCCATGGAGATACTAGAGCGCCTGATTTTATTGATAGGGAGCATGCATTAACAGGCAAATGAAGGCGATAGAAACGAAACGTTATTTGCCGCAGCATTACACGGTTAAAAGATTTTGGAGGCATTACGAAGGTTTATGTGACAACAGAGGGGTATTTGGTAAAAGTGGGGATAATGGATGAAAAACAGAACAAATAAAATCACAGTTACATCCGAAACGCAAGAATCTGAAAACATGGCACGTAATCAATGTACAGACTTTTGTTTTAAAAGTTTGGTTTTTGTCTCGTAACCAAAGTAACGGGACAATAATGCTTGGAAACAAGGGAGGAGAGACTAAACGCTGGTCAGTACATAGCAGCACGCACCACCCGTCATCCACGTCTTGAAGTTCACAAAAAAAGACAAATGGAAAATTCATCTTTTTTTTTACAAAAATTTTAACACTATTTCTGCTGTGCTATATAGCTGCTGAGGATAGAGCAGTATATAACTGGAGATTGATATATGATGTATTTGTCAATTTATATGAAAACTGTAGATCTGTCTCCGCGCAAACCGCCTCTACCTGATATTACCACACTGGTAGTCCTATATATAGCTCCGATAAGACCAACACCGCCCCTACCATTCTGTTAAATGCGTTCTCAAGGACATATGTTTTTACAGTGGGTTTTTTTCAATGTGATCTGGACCTGCGAGGCCTGTTTTATTTAGCACAGAAAAATCTTCCCATTTAAGGAGACAAATAAATCTGTGCCATTTTCCTTAGAAATGAAAGGACTAGAGTTCCGTTGGTGTAAATATCAGGTAGCTAACAACACACCTACTCTATCAAAACGTTTCCTCGGCTGATGAAAATATACTCTGTATTACAAGAGGTCTTCAGGGCAGACACGCTTTATACATGTGTAGTCGCCTTATTTTGTTACAGTATATCTGAAACATTACAACGGAACTTCGTTACTTTTGGAACCAATGGGGGTTTTTTTGTGAAATATATAGTGTCGTTTGCTGATAAAAATTAAACACGTCGTTCAAACGACTCCACGAACATTACTTAACGATAAAACGTATTTTCGAATTGCTAAAATCCCTTCGGACCATGTCGGAGTTTGGCATCGGGATCTATTGGGTATTTTATTTGTTGAATTGACTTGTCCGTGTTGCCTTCCAACAGCACTTGATGGCAGCTGTAAGATCTCCCCTCAATGGACGGTCGAGCTCATAGACATTTTAAGTTATTTCCTAAAATTCACTCAACATTTGGCTGTAATTACAAGCTTCATGGAAGGTGAAAGTCTACCTAAACACAAATAATACCATGTGAGGTCATGTGACGATTTTAGCCAATCAGAGACACGGATATGTATAGTCAATAACTCTTCTTAAAAGTTTTCACGAATACAAGTGAAGAAATGAAAACCACATCAAAATTTGTGACCGAGAAGATATATTTTGATGACATTTCTCGAAGGAAAATATCGCTGCTAGGCCAATTTCATGATATTTAACTAAAGGTCAAAATCACACAAAGGTATCGCATTCGGTCTATTGTCTTGACATTAAACTCAAACTCAAGGTCATAGAACGTAACGCCAATAGACAATCGGCATGACATTTATCTCATTATCAAGGCCACAGAATGGTATCACCACTTATCCAGTTTTCTCGGGTCAAGGCCACAGAAATGTAACATGACATTTATCTCCAGGTCAATGTCACAAAACAGATCTCCTCTAGTCCACTCTCATGACATTTATTGATTATTATATCAAGGTCACGGAAATGAAACGTCACTATTCCATTGTCATGACATTTACTATCATATCAAGGTCAAGGTCATAAAAAGTAATATCAATAGTCCATGACACTTATCTCTTTATCAAGGCCACAGAATGGTATCACCACTTATCCAGTTTTCTCGGGTCAAGGCCACAGAAATGTAACATCAATAGTTCATGACATTTATCTCAAGGTCAATGTCACAAAACAGATCTCCTCTCGTCCACTCTCATGACATTTATTGATTATTATATCAAGGTCACGGAAATGAAACGTCACTATTCCATTGTCATGACATTTACTATCATATCAAGGTGAAGGTCATAAAAAAGTAATATCAATAGTCCATGACATTTATCTCGTTGTCAAGGCCACAGAACGGTATCACCACTTATCCAGTTTTCTCGGTCAAGGCCATAGAAATGTAACCTCAATAGTTCATGACATTTATCTCAAAGGTCAATGTCACAAAACAGATCTCCTCTAGTTCATTCTCATGACATTTATTGATTAATATATCAAGGTCACGGAAATGAAACGTCGCCATTCCATTGTCATGACATTTACTTTCATGTCAAGGTCAAGGTCACTAAAAAGTAATATCAATAATCCATGACATTTATCTGAAGGTGAAGGTCACAGAAAGATAACGTCAGTAGTCGGTTGTCATGATGTTTGTCTCAATCTCAATACAATAATGTTACTTTCATATTAAATAATTGTTATTTCCTAATCAAAATGATTTGACAGCACAATGGACCTTCAATGGCCTCTCTCTATATGACAGACGGTGACCATATCGACGAACGAGCGTTGTATCGTATCTTTCACCGGAAATGACATCAGAATTAATATGTACAGTGGAGATGATATCCTTATCTTAATTGCAATCGTTGTTTTATATGATGTTTATATATGTTACAGGATCACATTGGATACTGAGATAAGTAAGATTTATAATGACGACAATATATTCAGTGATGACCTTCGCTCTCGTTACGTCACCATCCGGGACCTTCTGGCACACAACATTGGTATCCGTAGCAACAACTATATGAGGTTCGATGACACCCTGACAAGGGGAAACATATACAGGCAAGTATACACTAAAACATGTACATTCAAGCGAATACAGGTAATCGGTTTGGTTTAATTTGGTTTAGTATTGTTTAACGTCCTTTCAACAGCTATGGTCATTTAAGGACGGCATCCCCTGTGTGTAAGATACATGCGTGTATTATATGCGTGTGTGTTTTGGGAGGCTGCGATATGTTCGTGTTTGTCTCCTTGTGTCTCCTCGGAACTGATGCCGACTTTATTGTGCTACCTCACTGAAACATACTGCCGAAGACACTCAGCAGGACAACCCACCCGGTCACATTATACTGACAATGGACGAACCAGTTGTCCCTCTCCTAAATTGCTGAGCGTTAAGCGGGAGTAGAGACTACCATTTTTACAGACTCTGGTATGTCTCGGCCAGGGGACAGCACCCAAAGCCTTCCTTACAGGCGCGAACTCTCATCTAAAGGCCAAAAGTGAGCCATTGTCAAGGAAGACATTAGGGAAAAAAGTTGTTTAGAAAGAAGAGAATAGATATAAGATCCTAAATTTAGTCGCCTCTTACGATCATGCAATGGGGGGCGGCAGGTACAATTCGAACGCCCTACCTGCAGGGACATATAAAGGTAATCATAATCAGGTTTTTAGAGGAAAGTCAATAATACTATGCAGTTAACTTGTGATATAGTTTTTCTTTTTCTTGCCGGGGATCCACGGACAAACATATCATATCAAAGATATTATGTCTGTCAATCTTTCGATATAAAAGCTACATAATTAAAACTGAAGGTTTTACATGTAAGTGACATATAATTATAACCTAACATGAAAAAAGTCGTGATATTAACAAGTGTACATTACATTCTCCAACAGAAATGTACCGTCCACTCACATGACCCTACCACCCGTGTCAAGGTCATCCGTGTAAAATGCACACCGCTGGCAATTGTTTCTACCTTAGTAATTATTCTTTGATTATTTTCGCTTGTCTCCTGTGATTTGAACAATGTGGGTAATGAAACTTTACCTTGAGGTCGACTGGATTTTGCAATATCAATATAATAAAGGTCTGGGATTGCAATGATTTCCTTTTTAAACGTTACGATCTCTTTTCCGATCGATAGTAGCGCCCCCAGGCGGTGGCGATGACCCGTCGTTAGATGCGGGACAGAAAGGTCTGATCGATGGGCGCCAAATCGTAATTGCATACCTTGCTTCACATCAACTTCTAGTTTGTCGTGCACAAAGTTATTTATAAATGCAATCCCGTCTAATTCATATAAATGTAATTTAAAGTTTCCCTTCGGTTGTACAATCATATTTCGTTCTTTGGAATCCGGTGTTCGGAGAATCACCGACAGATTAGGCCCGTTTACAGCAGGGTACTGTGTGTCTGCCTCACCGTCTACGTCTGTTTACCTCAAGGTCCTCTCAAGGTCAACTCAAGGTCATCAATATACTCTAATAAAACACATTGTTACCTCTCTTTGTACAAGCCTAAATAACTTTCAGTACGAAGTCTGCGTTAAGCGACCACCCCATTCTGAAGACCCTTAATAAAACCATTAAGTCCTATTGTGGTATCCTTGCCATTTTATTTTGTTTATATCGATCGCCATGAAGAAAGCAGCCGTAATCTATTTGTCAACTGGGAGGCAGATCTATACATAATACGATAAACAATAATTGTACATGGTTTGAAGACATTCGTTTTTTTATGGATGATAATAACTTTGGACAGCAATAAAGATCCATCTGTCTTTGAGTGAAGTAATGCATATATATAAATACCCTGTGGCCCTTTTCGCGTATCATATAATGTATAAATCCTACCCCCCCCCCCCTCGTTGAATGTATTACCCCTTGGTACCCCGTTTGTCGTTGAATGTATTACCCCGTGGTAACCCGTTTGTCGTTGAATGTATTGCCCCGTGGTAGCCCGTTTGTCGTTGAATGTATTACCCCGTGGTAGCCCGTTTGTCGTTGAATGTATTACCCCGTGGTAGCCCGTTTGTCGTTGAATGTATTACCCCGGGGTAACCCGCTTGTCGTTGAATGTATTACCCCGTGGTAACCCGTTTGTCGTTGAATGTATTGCCCCGTGGTAGCCCGTTTGTCGTTGAATGTATTACCCCGTGGTAGCCCGTTTGTCGTTGAATGTATTACCTCGTGTTAACCCGTTTGTCGTTGAATGTATTACCCCGTGGTAGCCCGTTTGTCGTTGAATGTATTACCCCGTGGTAACCCGTTTGTCGTTGAATGTATTCCCCCGTGGTAACCCGTTTGTCGTTGAATGTATTCCCCCGTGGTAACCCGTTTGTCGTTGAATGTATTGCCCCGTGGTAGCCCGTTTGTCGTTGAATGTATTACCTCGTGTTAACCCGTTTGTCGTTGAATTTATTACCCCGTGGTAACCCGCCGTTTGTCGTTGAATCTATTGCCCAGTGGTAACCCGTTTGTCGTTGAATGTATTACCTCGTGTTAACCCGTTTGTCGTTGAATGTATTACCCCGTGGTAACCCGTTTGTCGTTGAATGTATTACCCCGTGGTAACCCGTTTGTCGTTGAATGTATTACCCCGTGGTAACCCGTTTGTCGTTGAATGTATTACCCCGTGGTAACCCGTTTGTCGTTGAATGTATTACCCCGTGGTAACCCGTTTGTCGTTGAATGTATTACCCCGTGGTAACCCGTTTGTCGTTGAATGTATTACCCCGTGGTAACCCGTTTGTCGTTGAATTTATTACCCCGTGGTAACCCGCCGTTTGTCGTTGAATCTATTGCCCAGTGGTAACCCGTTTGTCGTTGAATGTTTTAATCCATACCCCGTGATATCGCTGAATATATTGATACTTACCCTGTGCTGTATTACCCTGTGATAACCCCGTCTGTCGGTGAATTATTAACTATACCCTGTGATAATCTATTTGTCGTTGATTATATTAATCCATATCCTCGTGTTTCCTTCTTCATACCTCTATGTCTGATTGGGAATTCTGTCTTTGACTGGCGTGACGTTGTATACATGTAATGTCTGTTACCTGTCTGATCCTATATAAGAGGTATGTACATGTACGTTAAGGCATGCGTACAGAGACCTCAGAATACTTTTATGACCTTTTGGTTTGTTTCTCGTGCAGACGCATCAAGTACCTCCGAGGCCGGGGTAGATTCCGGGAGAGTTTTTACTACAGCAATCTGATGTATGGCGTCATCACAGACATTGCCGAGAGACTTGGTGGTAAAAGTTGGGAGGATCTCGTGAGGGAGGAGCTACTAAACCCGATAGGAATGATGTCCACTACATTCGCAACAGTAGCTGAGGAAAAGAAGATAGACCTCGCCACAGGTTACATAGATTTCTATGGGGACATCCACCCCGTGTCATTTCGGCTATCAAAGTACGTACATACGTAAAGATACAATGATGTGTGAAGCGGACATTTAAATCAGCTATTTTGCCAGAATTAAAAGTTACCAACAAGAAATACAATGCACTTGTACACGGCTTGCTTTAGGATCAGGGGACTGCGGTGTCGGGGTGGTTATGGTTCTCATATTATTGTATACATGTATTATTGTAAATTTATAATATACAGTACTATTTGTATGTCATTGTATGCGAAGTAAAGTAATCTGAATCTGAATCTGATCACTAGCCCTCCACCACTAGGTCACGGGTTCGAGGCCTACGTGGGGCAGTCGCCTGGATTCTTTTCGGGTACTACGAATATCCTTCGCCACCAAAACCTGGCACATACTTAGATGAGTATAGCTGTTACATGCAACAGGACTTACATGTACAATCCATAGTAACAAACAAACAATTAAAGACAATTGGGTACAAGAAGAAGATCCTTTACAAGATAATACAGCACACCAATATCACAATACACAAGGTCAAGCAACCGCAAGGTTATAGTACAAAGGTCACCAAATGTTACTATACACCAACTTTTTCCATGCTCATATACACAAACTTCATCATATCACAAGCAAAACATACAACAATATTATCATAAATGGGTCATCATGGACTTATTTCACAGTATGATCAGATCATGGTGTATCAAGGTTACGAAACACCGAAGTCTTTATAAGGTCACCATTCACCAAGGTCACGATCAATCAAAGATCACCGTGCACAATGTTACTATTCACTGAGGTTACACTACATCAAGATCAAAATAGATCAAGGCCACAGCACATCGAGGTCTCCATGTACCAATGTCGCCATACATCAATATCACATACGATAAGTTCACAATCACAAATATCATCAGACATCAACCATAGATCAATGTCCCCTCACCTCCGGTACCCTTCATCGATGTCACAATACACCAGTATCACCATTCAAGAGGCCATCTAACATCAATGACACCATACACAGATGTCATTTTGCGCTCATGTCACCATTCATTACGATCATCACCATACTTAGGGACACCACCATTGTTATACATACACTAATATCACATACACTAATATCACATACACTAATACCACATACACTAATATCACATACACTAATACCACATACACTAATAGCACATACACTAATACCACATACACTAATATCACATACACTAATATCACATACACTCATATCACATACACTAATATCATATCACATACACTAATATCACATACACTAAGATCATATACACAAATACAATCATACACCAAGGTCACCAGTCGTCAATGTGAACATTCACTTACATCACCATACATTAAGTCATCAAGCTCATTGTCATCATACAACAAATGCACTGTACACCAGATTCACCCTTAGCCAAGGTCAGCAAACGCTCATGTCAACATATGCCAAGATCATCATACAAAGATGTCGCTAAACACCATTATCACCCTAAACCAAGGTCAGCATACATCAATGTAACCACGCACCAAAGTCACCATACACATAAGTCACCATACACTAAGGCTCTTCATACACTAAGGTCACCATACACTAAGGTCACCATACACCAAAGTAACCATGCACTAAGGTCACCATACACTAAGGTCACCATACACTAAGGCTCTTCATAAAGCAATACCACCTACATCACTGTCAAAAAACCATCAGGTATATATTGAGATCCTCATACAAACATATCGCCTAACACCATTGACACCTTACATCAAGGTCATCACACACCAATACCACAATAAATTAAGGTCAGCATACACGAACGTGACCATACAATGACACCATACTCTAAGATCGTTTTACACCACGTTCACCATGCACAAGGTCAACTATATAAAAAAATATCATACATCAGTTGATGAGGAACCAACACCAAGACATAGGTACCGTCCATTAGTCAACGCATGTAGCCGATATAGACGGATAAAGTCAGAACTTTAGCCTAATGAACATTTAAGACTAGTTCAAGCCCAGGGGTGTAGGAAAGGAAAATTCTACCCAGTGTTTTTCAAACTGGGAAAAAAATCCCGAAGCACACCGAGGGTTTGCACTGGTTTGACAATCCTGAGGATAGAGTGTTTCTATTCTACATCTTCGGGCGTGAAAGAGTACTTTTTACTCATTCGAATCACCAAATGATTCCAATGGTGTGACTTCACGCACGTGAAATGGAGTAGCAGATTTATAGATTACCACACCATGTTTCAAGGTTTGTCATGAGATCAATTTTCGCATCTATAATGATTAAAAGTACACTGGTATATGATTTAGTGTTGCTTGATAAATATTATATTGATAATAGAATATCTATCAACCAAGGCAATAAGGTATGATCTGTATGTGGGTATTTGTTCACTTATCCATTGCATTATTACATGTCAAGCAGATGAAGTGGTAGAGATCAGAGTCCCGAATTCAAACCCAGGTCTGGTCGTGCATTTTCCTCTCTTTTTACACATGTATGAAAAACTGGTGTAACCGTGAAAAAGAATCTCTTTTGTACATGTTTACTAACGTTTTATACTTGGTGAAGCTTCTGAATTTGTTCAAAGCAAATGAAATATAAAAAACTTACACCTAACTTTAAAGCATGCTATTTAATTTTTTCCTATTTCCTCCCACAGTAAGACCCCATCCGGGCCAACAAGAGGGATTAGTATAGGTTGTAAAAACTTGTTTCATAATTGTTGTAAAATAAGTAAACTTGAGATACATATTCATATGAGGAACAGCTTTGTTTTGATACTTCTTCCGGCTCATGACGTTAATTACCCAGCAGACATCTTATAAAAATATCCGAGCCAATAACTTGTTTCATAATTGTTGTAAAATAAGTAAATTTGATATATACATTTACATTCATTTCCTCCGGCTAATGACGTTACCTTGCGTGAGCAGACATCTTACTTTTAGGGGGGAAACATTCCAAAACGGGAAAATCCATAGTCGTTATAGTCGTTCTTAAGTCTTTCCCAACTTTCTTTTGCAGTATTCTAATACTTTCAACCCGTGATAATGAATGTATCATGCTACTGGAAGGTGGTACATACAGTAGTACATAGGTGATAATGGAATTCTAACACCCGTTTCTTGCCCTGGATAGTACATATGTATACATTCATTATTTTGACCTTTACAGTTGAAATAAATATTACGTTTTGTTGCGATTTTTTTCGTCAATGCTATGGACACTATTGATTTTTTTTCTTATCTTTCATTCCAGAGTGTGGGGTAATCTGTGTGGGTCCGGCTGTGTGATGAGCTCGGCTAATGACATGGCAAAATGGATGATGTTCCACCTTGACAAGGGGCGTAACTCCTTCTCCGTGAGAGTCGTTGACGAGAGGGCGCTTTCTCATACACATAAGGCTCACAACACCATAGCAAAGTCGTCCATTTTCAAATACTTCACAAAACCTGTGGTACCCCACACCCGCTGCCAGACTAACTACGCGTTGGGCTGGAAGAATGGCTACTACCGAGGTCAGTGGCTAAATCGGACTTTTCGTTTTATGTTTATTTTCATAATAAATACAAAAATATGTTTCTCTCTCTCTGCAGAAATAACTATTGACATTGTTTGGCTACAGGGTACGTTGGATATTGATTAGCCCCGGGCATAGCTGTTCAAATTAAGACATTAGGAACACCAAAGAAAACCATTTTTCCACAACCACGGAGAAAATCGAATTGATTAATAGTGTTATTTTTTAAACGTCGATTCGACGACAGAATAGCCTTCCGATTGATTTTGAGCCTAAATGCAATTAAGCTTAAACATGGGATACGTTCGGTTTTTACACACACACGTGATGCATTACGATGAACACGGCGCACGGCAAACGTTCTCACAATATTTCAGTTGTAAATGGTGGACACGAATCAAATTCATGCCATTTGCAGCGGTTGTCTGCACAATTTTCCAATACATTATGCAGGCGATTTGAATAGCTTTGATCTGTATTAACGCACTGCAATACATTAACAAGCAGATATGAAATTAAATATATTATCTCTCCATTTAACCGATTTTACTCGGGTCGGAGTGGCATTATCCCCCTGTCCATGCCTGCTCTCTTCCAGCTCTTCACAAATGGTCCATTACCAGTGAGACAATGGCCTGGCGCGATTTCAATAGCGTTGTCGGCATTTGTCTTCCTACAGAAGGAAAAAGATTTGAGATCGTGCTTATAGAAAATAATATGCAAATGGCTTGCCGAGAAAATTCCGTTATGAAGAATACTAACATTTCAAGGACACGCAAAAGCAAATTTCTGTTTAAAGGAGATTGCAGTGTCAATTATCAAATCTAGTGACATTCAAACATCTGTCTTCGTCGAATTGTCAGTGAAGGTTTTGTTTATAGATCGAATAATCCTTGATTTAACTGAATTCCACTTGTACTACGGCACCGTGCCAAAAATATGTCCCCACTCAGATCCAACATGGCCGACGCACAAAACGTCAACACAACAAACAAATGAGTGGTACTTTCCATTTACTGCCAAAATTCGCTTAATACTCTACTATATTCCCTTTCCTGATGATCTCTTCCTTGCATCGCATTGGTCAATTGTCTTGAAGTTTTTCTTACATGACGGCACGTTTTCCTAGATAATGCGAAGTTCTGACTTTAGATTTTGTTTGGGAACCTGTTTTGTCACATTGTTGTACATGAATACATGTACATGTATGCTCCTTCCTACCTTCCATATTATCTTATTGATCCAACTAAATGAAGCATGCTGGTAATATTCCATCATACAGATACATTCATGATTAGACGGCACAGTTGAAAATGGCTTTCAAAAGACATGTCCGTTTTGATTTGTGCACACAGTTATATTGTGATTTGAGAGCACTTATGTAATTTGAGGGTACGGATGTACAATATATGATTTCAAGTTAAAGATTTATTGTGATTTGAGGATAAAGGTATAGTGTAATTTGAAAAGAAGAATTGTCGTGATTTTAGAATACAGATTTTAAAGAAACAAATGTTTTGTAATTTTTTTTATTGTCTATACAATATGACAGTAACGTTTATTTCGAAAGGATACAAAAGGTTAATTAAAAAATATCTGAGAGAGAAAAGTGTACTTGTCGACGATAGTTGCAAAGTTTTGCAACGAGCTTGGTGACTCACTTAAATAAAACATTATTATTTGTTTGTATATATAGAATTGTTGCAGCGTTTTTTAATGTTTCGTTTCGTTTGTTTTTAAGGATATGAAATATTGACGCATTCCGGGTCGACATGGGGATACAGAGCATTGGTAACGTTATTTCCGGCCATGCGCATCGGCGTCTACACATCAATGACTGGCGAGGACTACGGCTACATTTTGCGGACAAATATACATAATTATTTGGCAGATATGTACCTGGAGGAGACACCATGGCTTAATGCATCCACGATATGTTCCTTTCCTGAACCATGGTTTAGACCTGGCAAGGACAAGCCAAAACCATCGATTGACAAAACACGTGAGCTTCCTAGAAATACCACTTATTACGTTGGAGAATATGAAAATCCAGCATATGGAAGAATGATTGTAGCCGTCAATGGTACCACCGGAAAACTGATCATCAAGTACGGAGAAGTGACATTAGGCTTGTACCCGAAAGCCATGAAAGACGAATTCCACTTCGAATCACTTGGGTTCGCCGCGTTAGTGTTAAACTTTGGGACGATCAAGTTTAAGATGGAGACTCTCTCTGGTTACTTCGCAGCATTCCAGGTCACGACGTTCGACACTAAAGACCCACCGGACTTTCAGCGATTTATGACACAAAACGATTTACCGGAAGTTGGTAACCCTTTGTACGTCGCTTCCCAGCGTAATAGTGCAAATACGTCACATTCGGCAGAACTTCTCTTCGGTATTCTGATTATTTGGATTATTAACCTATTCGTCTTCAGAAAAATTCCAACCTGTCGATCATAACGAAAACATGAGTAGTGTGTATTACCTTGACTGGTCGACCGCTGATTAGAGTTCACGTATCTGAGATGTACAGAGGAACATATTTTTATCGACACCTTAGTTTCCGAAATAAATTCCGGAATAATGCCAACAACGAGTTTCCAGGACAAGCTAAAAATAGGATTGTCAATAAATAGTGCTGCAGCTGCTGAATATAAGTGCCCTGGAAGCGCCATGTCCATAAAATCGCTGATACCGGATTATCGGATCCGGGTGAACGAGACACCACTGCATCTGTAGATAATTAATCCTGATTAATATGGCTAAACCAAGTAGGGAGAGATTAAGGCCGGATAAACGAGGCTCTGCTACATTATACGGTTAGTCCGTAATAAGGGTGACTCCACCACGTGAGGAGGTTGTTAGTCAGCATGAACGAAGCTACACTGTCTTGGGCTGGGTGTAATCCGGGTTAACGAGACCCCACTATATGTGTACATCGGTAGAGAACTAATGAGGCTGACATATATTAGGAGAGGTAAATCCGGATAAACGAGTCTCTGCTACATTATACGATTAGTCCGAAATAAAGTGACTCCACCACGTGAGGAGGGTGTTAGTCAGCATGAACGAAGCTACACTGCCTTGGGATGGTGAAAGACTGGATCAACGGGTCTCCACTACATCGGTAGTCAAGAAATCCGGATGAATGAGGCCAAACTAAGTTGGAAGATATTAAGTTCGGATAAACGAGGCTCTCCTACATTATACGGTTAGTCCATATTTACGTGACCCTAATACGTATATATGCCAATATGCCTTTAATTTGGATGGTGTTACATGTAGTCCGGAATAACGTGGCTCAACTGCCTTGGGATGGTGTCAGTCCGGATTAACGTGGCATTACTACATTGAGAGGGTGTACGTCAAGACCATGGGTGTTGGTCCGGAATCGCAAGGTTCGACTAAATCATGAAGGGTGTTAGCCCGGATTAACGAACTTCCGCTACATCGGACAGGAGCTAGGCATTTCACAAATAATACTAATACTTTTTTTGTCTAATCACATTATGATCCTAACCAGCCATTGGCTAACTTAACATTGTATACCGTAAGGAAATGGAAATTATTCTATGAATCAACAACGTCCAAGAAATGAAAGCGCTGGCTACTTAGTCCTGTTATACTATAGGTGTAAGGTCATTACTTCAATAGTTGTTGTAGGGTTAAAGGCAGTAACAACAATTTGAGGGGATTACGATGCATTGAATGTTTGGTGAACATTGTATTGGGGGATATGGATTTGCTGATTCTATAATGCTGCAAACCAAGTCCATTACAACGCCGATACCATAAGCGCTATTTTAAAGCTCCCTTCCGCCAGGTCATAAACAATTAGTGCTTACTTTCGCCAAAATAATATGATTTATATTTTAAGTTTTATTCATAACACGTCACGTTTTCAATGTAAAAAAAATACTGATGAATTGCGTTTATAAATACGTCATCATTCATTGCGTGTCACATGCTATATACGCGCTCAGTCTGTGTGTTCCGTGCACTGTGACACATGTCACCGGTTCGTGTGTCTCCTGCACTGTAGTTGTACTTATGTGGAGCTTTGCAAGACAACGTAATTACTGCTCTCAGTGTGTGTCCGGGAAATATTAGAAACAGAAAATTTAATATATCGTCTAAACTAGCTGGTGCCATTCAAGTCTGGATGTTAATAGAAATAAACCACAATCAACATCCGAATATTTTTTTCAAGAATTGCTTTTCTGTCTTAATTCATGAAGATTTTCTATATAATCGCTAAAGACATGTATTGACGATAAAGACTAGATCTGATTGAGGGTGCTGTAATTGGGTTTTTCCTCCTTTCTCACGCAAATCCAGAGAACGTTCCTGAAAGGTATTGTCTTTATGCTGTTCCCATATATATTGTCTAAAGGCATCGGCACAATGCCGGTAGCTTTCAAGTATTATGTTTTAATCAAAAGTCATTATTCTCTGTGTCGCTAAGTGCATCGTGTAAGTGAAGCGGTTTCCTTATGCCGCGTACGAATACGTATCGGATGTAAGGTCTGTATGTACATGTGTGTTTACTTCCGGCGTATTCTGTTTTGAGAATGCGGTAGAATTTCGTTTCATTTTAATAGTATTTGTGAACCAATTATATATGTATCGCAATTACAGTTGTTGCATTCTGTGAATAGAAGAAAAAGTCCATTCGTGTATCTGTTGTCATGAATAATGTTTTATTGGTATAGCATGTATTGTATAGCTATACTGACCTTGAGCATTGACCGTTTGGTATAACCTCTGCCTTAACCATATTCTATGTACGTTGTGTAAGCTACTGCCCCATCTATACCGGACACATTCGATGTGTATCGTCTCTAATGATAGAAAGACACAAATATTTGACATTTTGAGCAACTGCACAACACATCTGCAATATTTGTGATTTACTTGCTGATTTAACTTGCAAATTTCTTATAAAAATATTTTCAAATACCTCTTTCATTTATTTTGAAAGTTCTGAGCTTTTGAGCAGTTCATTCTTCTGTTCCACAGAGTGAAAATGGTTACATGTATATGTGTCGTATATCGTACCGATCAGCCACCTATTTCCATTTGACAGATATAGACAATTTCTATTATTTCATAAAATGAAATATAACTGTGGAAAGTAATTGTGTCTGGCTATATCACCCCGCCGCCAGTCTGATGGAGCGCCGCCATTACGTGTCTATACATTCTCTCCACTAACAAATGGTTGAATTTCGTGTCGTCTTGTATTTAATGTGGATTTTTTCTAAATTTCATTTCAGAAGGGAGAAAGGTCTCAAGAAAGATTTTATTTGCATGTGTAGCGTATGATAGATTTTGGTATTTGTGACGATGTGTTGCTGTATTTTCTCTCAATCTGTCGCTTTTAACCATTAACCCACGTGATGACGTCGGCAGACAAAATCTGTAACTCATGATGAATTATATGTTTGTGATTAGAAAATAAAAATAAAATGTTCTATTGTTCAAACTTTTTAATGGTTTAAAACGTCTACCTTATAAAAGTTCTTTTTTTACTTTTTAAAGCATTTTGTTTCTTATACAGTCGAATATGCTAGTGAGTACACCAATATCAAACAATTCTGTCTCTTAAGAAACTACCATTTTCTTATCCCCACAACGCAGATTACTGTTATCTGAAGAGACTATCTTTGTTAAAACAAGCCTTTTTAGTCGTCCTGCGGGTGGTCTGCGATACAGATTTGATTGTATATATGTCAATTCTAAATAATAACTGTATCAGGGGTCGTGATAGGTTCAGAGATGCCAACGTGATCTGCAATTGCCGGTGTTAATTATCATGAACCTGAAAAAAAATCCAGACTTCTTTTTGAAAATTCTCAAATTGATTTTTAAACTTTTAATTGATGGAATTATTGGAATTGAAGCTGTAATTGTCTCGGATCCATGTATTATGTAGCTCTCATGCTATATATGGACGGTAATATCTACGCTACGGTCATTTTAATTTATTGTGGAAGTAAATTGTCCCCTCTCATTTCGTATGTATACAGGGAAAGTCAAGCACCAATGTCTTATAATGTATTGTGATGCTGTTGTTTAAACATATGTTGCGTGTGTTGATTAATGAAACAAAGGCATAGGACAACATATATATATATATGGTGGGCGGGAGATGGGTAAGTAATGCATGGGAGGGGGTCTGGAAACGGAGAATCGTAAAGGTATGTTAGGCGAGGGAGATTAACAATATAATGTTTACTTAATTATACAGTTGAACAATATACACCTTGGAATAGCTACCAACTACCCAAAGAGACACATAGTCTATTATCCTTTTTTCTATTATCGTAACGTTCTCATATTTTTTTATTCTAAAATGAGACTATATTTACATGTTAAAAGGAAAGGCATAGGAAATAGGGAGGGGGGGGGGGGGGGGACAAAGTGAGAGCTCGTGTGATAAAGTGCTGAACTAGTCTTACAAATATTATATCATCTCTACCGAATTGATAATTTACTGTTATAATTACTTCTATTTTACATTGCAAGGATACCAAACAAGCTCATTGATAAATATTTACATTCTCAAGGCATAGTCACTAGATAACTTCAACCACGAGACACAATTCTCAGCCAATTATCACTCGACAATTTGTTCAGACTGTCGATAAGGTGGGAATTTTAAATTTTAAATATAATTTTTAAGTAAAAAATAACACCGTAGAAGGCAGAAAAAAGGTAAATATAGGCATTGAGCTGTTTTTTGTATGGCATTTATGATATATGTGAATGACACAGCTTTGCAAGCAAACAACATACAAGCTGCCATACAAAAATCATTCAATGTTTAAGTGAATATCATATACATGTATACATGTAAGTAGATTCCTCACATGAATGATCACATGGACATTCGGAAACTTTGTTCTTCTACATGTACCTATTTTTAAGGAACAATGGGACAATGAATCGAAACTGATAAAAGGACATTACAGTTATATTTATATAGGAACATTGAATGTATTAAGGATGTACTCTTCTGAGGTTTCAATCACGTTCAAGTCTCGTTTTGATCTGGTGTAACGGGTTTTTGTAATATTTAACAAATTATGATCAAGTTTATTAGCAAACACACATCTGAAAAATGTGTCAAAAAACTAGATGCCTGTTGTATGTAGATTTTTTTTTACAAGAATTTAAAATAATTACCAATTCGGCGGCCATTTTGAAAATGTGTATTAGTGTGTATTTCTTGCGCTTCAACGAAGGCAAAAGTTTCACCTTTTTTGACACTAGATTGATCACTTAAACTGTAATTGTGTCGCCATTTTTAATTGTAGCAGGTTCAAATTTGCTGTACAACTGTATAATGTTTAATATGATAAATATAATATGCAACAAAATAGAAAATTATACATTATTGGTATTTTTTTTACATATTTAGTGTAACTGAAGCACTTTTGATTTTGACCCCGAAAAAGGTAAAAAAAAACAAAACACAAATGATAATGGGACAAAAAAAGAAGCACACGGACCCCCATTTATGTGGATGTTTTAGAAAGAGAAACACATCTTCTTTTAATTCATTAAATATTACAAAAAGTTTAATAGCAGAACTTTTTATAGCAAGCGTTTAACAAGCAAAGAATGGTAAACATATGAGTATTTTTCATTAAAAATAGGTGGTAAGGGTAACTAAAATCGGCTTTCTGAGTTAAAAGAATAAGATTAAGAAATTTTACTTCCATAATTTAAAAGAAAATAATATTTTCATCAATTACAAACATTCATACATATCTGATAACACACTTGGAAGAAATTGTATGAATTTGTTCTGCAAATGGTCAAAACCCAAAAAATCCCCTAAAATCACATGTTGTGTTAAATTGGTATCTTTGACCGATCATAGCACAAAAACTAAAACACGGACATCAATTTTTTTTGGCATTTTTTACTATGCCATTAACTCCTTTTTCCAAAAATCCATATAAGAAAAAAAGTTTGATACAGAAATTTTTGGACTTCTCAGAGGTGTACATCCTTAGTAACGATGTAATATAATAGGAACATTCATGGAACTTTACAGATAAAGGAACATTGGACAGAAATAGGAACATTCACTTAACTTTACTGACAAAGGAACATTGTACTGAAAAAACATACAATTAATTTTACTGATAAAGGAACATTGTACTGAAAAAACATACAATTAACTTTACTGGTAAAGGCATATTGTACTGAAAAAACATACAATTAACTTTACTGATAAAGAAACATTATACTGAAAAAGGAACATTCACTTAACTTTACTGATTAAGGAACATTGGACTAAAATAGGAGCATTCACGGAACTTTACTGATAAAAGAACATTGTACTGAAATAAAAACATTCACTTAACTTAACTGATTAAGGAACATTGGACTGAAATAGGGACATTTACGGAACTTTACTGATAAAGGAACATTGTACTGAAATAGGTACATTCACTTAACCTGACTGATAAAGGAACATTATATTGAAATGGGGACATTCACGGAATTTTACTGATAAAGGAACATTGTACTGAAATACGACATCCATTTAACTTCACCGACAAAGGAGCCTTGAACTGAAAAAAAACACATTCACTTATCTTTACTGATGTACGAATATTGTACTGAAATTTTACTGATAAAGGAACATTGGACTGAAATAGAAACATTCACGTAATTCAATTGATAAAGGAACATTGGACTGAAATAGGAACATTAACGAACTTCACCGATAAAGGAGCCTTGAACTGAAAAAAAAAACATTCACTTATCTTTACTGATGTACGAATATTGTACTGAAATAGGAACATATCTGAAATTTTACTGATAAAGGAACATTGGACTGAAATAGAAACATTCACGTAATTCAATTGATAAAGGAACATTGGACTGAAATAGGAACATTCACATTACTATACTGATAAAAGAACAATGGTCTGAAATAGGAACATTAACGAACTTTACCGATAAAGGAACATCGTACTGAAATAGGAACATTCACTTAATTTTACTGATAAAGGAACATTATTCTGAAATAGGAACATTCACATACCTATACTGATTAAAGAACAATGGTCTGAAATAGGAACATTAACGAACTTTACTGATAAAGGAACATCGTATTGAAATAGGAACATTCACTTTACTTAACTGTAACGGAGCATTGTACTGAAATAGGAACATTCTTTTTACTTAACTGATAACGGAACATTGTACGGAAATAGAAACATTTTTTTAACCTAACTGATAAAAGAACATTTTACTGAAATAGGAACATTCATTAACCTGTACTGATAAAGGAACATCGGACTGAAAAAGGAACATTCTCGGAACTTTCATGATAAAGGAAAATTGTACTGAAATAGGAACATTCGCTAAACTTAACTGATAAAGGATCATTATACTGAAAAAGAAGCATTTACTTAACTTTACTGATAAAGGAACATTGGACTGAAATAGGAATATTCACTTAATTTTACTGATAAAGGAACATTGCACTGAAATAGGAACATGCCACGACTTTTACTGATAAAGGAAGATTACACTGAAATAGGAAAATTTGTGGAACTTTACTGATAAAGGATCATTGTACTGAAATAGGAACATTCACTTAACTTTACTGATAAAGGAACATTATACTGAAATAGGGACGTGCCTGGAATTTTACCGATAAAGGAACATTGTACTGAAATAGGAAAATGCCTGGAATTTTACTGATAAAGGAACATTGTACTGAAATAGGAACGTGCCTGGAATTTTACTGATAAAGGAACATTGGTCTGAAATAGCAACATTCACTTAAATTTACTGATCAAGGAACATTGGTCTGAAATAGCAACATTCACTTAAATTTACTGATCAAGGAACATTGGTCTGAAATTCACATAACTTTAATACTGATACACCGGACACATTAATTAACCAATATTGCTTTAATACTGATACACCGGACACATTTATTAACCAATATTGCTTTAATACTGATACACCGGACACATTTATTAACAAATTTTGCTTTAATACTGATACACCGGACACATTAATTAACCAATACTGCTTTAATACTGATACACCGGACACATTTATTAACCAATATTGCTTTAATACTGATACACCGGACACATTCATTAACCAATATTGCTTTAATACTTATACATTGGACACATTCATTAACCAATATTGCTTTAATACTTATACATTGGACACATTCATTAACAAATATTGCTTTAATACTGATAGACCGGACGCATTCATTAACCAATATTGCTTTAATACAGATACGCCGGACACATTCATTAACCAATTTAATACTGATAGTCCGGACACATTAATTAACCAATATTGCTTTAATACTGATAGACCGGACACATTCATTAACCAATATTGCTTTAATACTTATACATTGGACACATTCATTAACCAATATTGCTTTAATACTTAT